GGAAGAACTGAACGCGGGTTCTGATGAGAACAGTGTAAGCGTTCAAGCAAACCACTTCTGAAGATGCAAGCCACTCGTGCTTGCGAAACGTCAGGTAGAAATTCTACCGAACGATGGCCTAAAAACCTGAAAAACCCATTCGTTTCAGAGTATAGTGTATTTTTCACTTAGGGACTTAGAGAGTAGATAGCATGCAGAGTACGTCTCTGGCCGTCATGGACTGCTGCCAAGAATCGAAGGCTCAATTGCGGGCGTAAAGTTATGGTCGATTTATGTGCGTTTTGTTGTCGCAAAACGCGTTATTTTCACATCAGCAATCTTAACTGTTATGAAAATAATTCTAGATTTTTCCAGCAGAAACTTACATGCACTGTTTTGGCTTTACAGTTTTTCTGTGAATTAATAGGCTTTGCCTTAGATGTGTCCCGCATGCGCTGACAAAATATAGACCTGACTACAACTACTTTACAAAGTACTGCAGTCAGACTCTACAACCACAGTATTGGCTAAATATGGCTTGGATAGACAGCACTTTGATTTACGATTATCGGAGCACGGTAGCTTATTAAGCGTGATTAAAGTTAGCAACGGATAAGAATAATTGTCTTAATCTAGTCTTAAATGATAACACAGAGATGGAAATAATGATTTCTTCTGCATTCAGCATTTTCACTCTGTGTTCCTACCGGAATCAATTCACTATCATTAAATTTAGCCAAATAGCGCTTTAATTAACAGACGATTTTTGACTAGTTCCAGTGTCACCTGGAGAACCTAATGGTCATGTGGCCAACGAGCGTTTAACTCACTCACTGCCAGGCAGTCCAGCAGATCGGCGACCTCCATCCTTTGAGGTGGTTGGTTCTGCTGAAAGCCTCGTTGGAAGAATTTTAGCCCAGCAAGGCTTAGGTACTGTTCAACCGAGAAAGTCTGAATTTTTCGCACTACCCAGCGCTAACTGTTGCAGGTAAATTTTGCGATCCAGATTTCGTACGAAATACGTCAAAAGAAATGCAAGAAGCTCTGGATATGACTCAAGAGGAGATGGATAGAGCTGCTCATGAGCTCTTGCAGCACGAGCGGCAGCTCAAGAGTTGCGGTGGACAATCCAGCCCAGTAGAAGGCCCGATACCCTCTCCACAATTATAGCAGCCCTTATAAGACCCTAATGCCACTCTACCAAGTGCCTAAATATTTCTTCTGGTCCAAGGAAGACTAAACTTATTAATAATGCGTAGTTTTATAACCTCTATGGATTGTTTCTCCACGTTAGCAAACATTCAATCCGTTGAATTAGTTGAGTCTTTTAAGAAAGCTTCATCCACTAGTGATCTTATTTAAGGCGCGTCACTGTCGGCCGAGTGTTTCGTTTTTTCAGGATTTTTCTAAATTGCAAAATAGTTCTACCTTCGACGGCTAGAACTGCGCGAAACAAGCAGCATTTTCGGCTGCGAACTACATATTGTGCCTTGTAGTGGATTAAATTTAGTTTGTTATATAGGGATTAGACCATATGATATATTACTACTGGCGCATTTTGAGACAAGTTTTTGGAACCTATTTTCAAATACATTTGCCAATTACATGATAACCAACGAGAAATAATGGGAACAAATAAACACTATTAGTGCCAAACTAGATTCAGTAATACCAATTCAACACGTTCCTCTAGCTCTTACTGATTAGTTTTAGCTCAATATACAACTGGTTCTTAGCTTGTCAACCAGGCTCTCATTGTTCAGTTCATTTTTGGTGTCTCAATACGAAAAAAAACATGTGATAAATACGATGTGTTGTCGGATCTATGGTCATATTTTGATATTGCGCACCCTAAACGATAACATTTTTCAGTTAGTCTGAGCACTCATTTTTTCATTACGCAATTTTTTTTAAGTCACATTCACTTATGGTTTTGATCCAAAGCTAGAATCAAAGTTCATATACACGGTGATTTGTAAAGGCTTTTGCAACTTTGGCACATGACAATCTGTTATATCGGTTCAGGTTCTTAAATTTATTAAAAAACTGCCAACAGTGTAATGGTCATTATAGATCACCATGTAGTTTATACGATGACCGTGAAATACTTCTCATTGCCAAAAATATAACAGTTCATTCTTGGTTTTCTCTGATAATTTCAAATTCTATTTTTGTAAAGTTGATAAATGATGGTGATGGTGCATTTGAAAGCAAAGCTCTAGTAAATTAAACAAAACGTTGATAATTAGGTAATCGTGATATTATGTATGTCTTAAATAAGTTCTGATTGAGTAAAGTTAGGAGTAATTAAATTAAATATAGCTGTTGTGGATCAGTTTTATTTAAAAGATTCAACGGACGGTTTGCTTCAATGTTGGTCATCAAACTTTCATGTACAGGGTGTGGAAAAAAACAAGAACTGTTGTCGCAATTCTGTAATATCAGACGTGTCAAAATAGTTACATTTTTAAGATTTTTTTAAGATTCTAGAGTTTGTAAACGTATAGTCATCAAGTAACGTGTTTGTTTCTCGGAATATACATACGCACAAACGGCGAAGTTTGTTTAAACCGATCATTGGTAATTTTTTGGCAACTTAATTGTACATAATAATTACTAAGTTGAAGATATATTATAAATATTTTTATTTAGTGAATAAAGATTAAATAAATTTGTATTGATTTTACTATTGCAACCCGAGTAACTTCAAAATTAGGACCTCACTCTAATGTTCTAATGAAATTATATGTTTTTGGTTTTGGTGTCGATTAAGGTTACTTGGAAAATGCGGTTTTCCAGCACACTTTTTGCCATTTCCCCATAAGGAAACAGCGTTTTAGGCGAACTCCAGTGACGATTTCGCCATTTACCCAAAACCGCTTTAAAGTAATTGTTGTCGAAGAATGTCAATATTTTCCACGTGTGAAAACTGTCGGTATCTTCGGGAATTTCCTATCCAATAGTAGGAAAACGGGTTCCGTAGCTTAAAAGGCAGTACCATACAGTGGCCGATTTCGCAAAATAAAAAAAAATCGCGCTTAACAATCATTTTGTCTTGAAATAAATTGAGAAAAAAACTTCACAATTTATTTCATCGCTGTTTTCCACTTGGAAAATTGCTGGTACAGCTTTAAACATTGCCACATGGAATTTCCATTGAGGTAAATAATTTAAAAGTGAAGTTTGGCATAAAATTTGGTAAAATTTTGGAAGAAGCAATGAAATTTAAATCTTAAGCCTTAAACGACACCAGCCTTTAGGGTGATTAGCTATAGATTTTCGAGTCTATTCCAAATTCGGTGTGAATTTTCCGATCTCTTCCCCACTATTTTTGACTGACTCGCACATGGTCATGGTCTAGTCTATAGTCTGCTTATAATGCGGCCAACATCGGACGCGTGTAGAGCTGCAATTCAAACGCGATCACACTTTTCGATAACTCGCAATTTGCGCCGTTTTCTACATATGACGACGGGTTTGAACTTGTTTGAACACGGAACCAAAGAACATGTTTGACGGTGAACCCGTGAAATATCCCAGAGCGACCACGGTGGTTGCAGCAGTTTGCGCGATTGTTTTTTGTATTGTTGGGGTGGTTGGTTAGTATTGTTTTTGCGATTTGGATCCCACATTTTTTTGTTTTCCTACTACACTTGGTGACCATGACAATATATAATTGCAACGAAATTTTTAAAGGAAGAAAAAACTTAATTTCTGCTAAATGCTGCAATTTTTAAACCCTTTAAGCATTACTTACGAAAATATTTCAAATTTCTTTATAAGCGCTTCCAAATTAAAATCAAATCCTGGGTTCTTCAGTCATTTATTGTCTATTTATCAATTAAAAAAACGTTTCGGTGTTTTCCACCATCATCAGTTT